TGTGAGGGGAAAATCATCAAATGACTTCTCTCGCCCAAGGCCGGGCGGGAGGGATTGTCAGACTCTTACTGACGAAAAATCCCCCTGTTCCTTCTCCTGCTCTAGGCCGAGGTCGCGGTGCCTCATTGCGCTTACCCCGCAACCTCGGCATCTAAAAGACTAAGCAATCTAGACCAGTCTTCGAACTCCAAGTTAATTTTAAACATAAAGAGAAGATGCCCACTACTGGACAAAGGCCTCCTCCTTAGTTCTCCATATCGAACAACAAGTCGTTACATTCATCGGCTTCTTGCGACTCTGAGGTCCGACGACATGTCGGTCCACCTAGTGAGAGATCTGTAAACTCTACATTTTCTTATCTGTGCTCAAGAATTTTTCTAGCTCATCGTCCTCCAAGAAAAGAAATATATTACCAAAATAAGACGCAGAAGTTTTCGGATGATCTCAAAATGTACAAATAAATCGAATTCAAGGAAAGACACACATATGTTTATCTACAGGATGATTCGTTTAAGATCCCTTTTTTTACTACGATATTAGTTACATTTGCAATTTATTTATAAAGCAAGCAGCGGTGTTAACTACAAGCACGACTAGGGAAAGCCATAAAGACCTACTTCTTTTTAAAAGAATGGAAACAAACCTGTAACTTATTGTATTGCAGATGCCCACTACCCAACTACTAACACTTACTTTTAGGCTAAAAAAGTACACAAGACCCCAAATTATAAAAACTAACATTGCGTACATGAGTATTACTATGCATATGGACCTCTTGGTTTAGAAAATAAATCTTTAAATTATGTTCTTTCGCACTTCGTCTTTTCCGAATCCAATACGAATTGACCCGAACCGATCCGAATCCTAACCGGATCCTTTCCAAATCCAATCTGAGTTTGACTAAATTTACACGATCGGACTAAGTGCAAAGAGCATTCCGACTAACTAATCGGTAAAATGATAGATGATCCCTAAGTAAGATCAAAGTCGTGTTCTAACATTTTATGTGTATAAATACAAACAACCTGTACAATTCACAGACACAAGACACGCGCACTCTCTATTAAGTAACGATGTTTGCTAGTTAAACGAACCGAAGTTCGGACAACAGCGCAACGAACTAAGGGAATTTTATCAGTACACAATATTATTGTGTAGTATGAAATGTATGAGAGCCAAGCTTCGGCACGAATGGGTGGGCTCCTCCGGAATGATACCACGGCCTCACAGAAAACCGGCGTGAAATAATCACAGTGTTTACCGTAAGGACAATTCCTGCCCTTCCCCCATCCCTTCCCAATACTTAAATATCCGAAACCTTTATCCCTAGAAGACCGGAAATGCACTCGTAACTTTTTTGGTGCTGCAGGATGTATGCCTGGGTGGCGTCGATGCCTTATTACCTAGTAACTCGTGTGCCCGTATTTTATAAATATATATATATAGAAGGTTCTTTCATAACGTTTGACTCCTCACTATAATATTATTTCATCATCAGGCTAAAAGTACGCGCTGCTGAGCAAAGGCCTCTTCTCACACGGAGAAGGTTTGAGCATTAACCACCACGCTTGCTCAAGGCGGATTGGCGATTTCAAATTTAATTTGAAATTATAAGTCCAGCTTTCCTGACGATGTTTTTCTTCACAGTATTTCCATGAAGTCTCAATAACCATAGAAACACAATAGAAGAAGAATATGTGCGCGAACGCCTTCGCTTGGGGTTTGATGAATTGGGAAAAGTCGCATTGTTACTTGGGGGTTTCGAAACCTCATTCATGAGAAGCAGGTGCCTTAACTTCCAGGCATCTACGGCTACTAACCATGTTGCTGACTTGTCAAGTAAAGAAACCAGCTAAGATTACAATGGTACAAGGAAACATCAGTACTTATTCGCAAAGAAGTAAAAACGCTATTAAAGAGTCTATCGTACAAACACAAACCGATCAAGCTATCCAAACTTTTATTCGATTCCCAACTTTATTCCCTTTGTTAAATAGTCGATGATAGATTGACAAAATTGGACACTTAAGTGTACTTTGATGTGCAGGCTGTTGTACTAAGATCCCGTTTCTAGAAAAACGTGAGTGGAATCCCGAATTCGAGTTAACATTGAACTAAAATGAGATTGTGTAATCTGTACGATCTGGTTCCTTTAAGATTCCATTTTGTAGCACAAAGCACGTAAGATGCCTTTTCAGTATAAGTTCGATTTGTAAACTGGATTAAGGGCTATGGAGTGGCTTGAAGGTTGAGCAGGTACTTGGTTCCTACTAGGTTCAGGTTCAGGTAACGTTCATTTCAGAATAAAGCATAACCAACAATACATTTTTATCATATTATAAAGATGGTAAATTTTTGATTTTGGAAGTTTATATACTTATTGGGGGTCATCTTTGGAATCACTGGTCGCTACTTTGTTAGCTACTTTTTTCCCAGGTATTGCAGGGAAAGCCGCTGGCAGGAGCTTGTACTGTTTAATGTTTGAGTTAAAATCTTGTCTGAAACTGTATATTGTTGTGCGTCATTTTCGTAAGAAGGCGTTCATTTTATCGCTACACATTAAAGACACAAGACTTGATTATAACAATATCTTTATAATATTAATTTAGTTTACATCTATGTAACTAAAAACTTCTTTAACAAACCTGCTCCACACTAGGATTTACGCCTGTGACGTAGGGGCGTTAATAAACTTTTTTTTACAAACCAGGAACAATGAATTGTTAATCAGAAAAAAGATTTATCTGTGCGGCAATCGAACCTACGACACATTGCACGGTTACCCAGCCACTGTGTCAACCGTGCAGTCAAACTACGGATAGGTACAATTAAGTATAACCATATTATTATATGTAATTATATTTAGAATTTGTAATAGTAAAAATAACACGCATTAGTTAGTTAAACTATATCGCATTCCAGACTATTACCTATAATCTCTAAATTATTATTAAATATATCTGTTCCAAATTTCATTCAGCTCAAAACCCGTTTAGTCGTTTTACCGTCAAAGAAATTTAGCGATTAGACTACCAAAAGTGAGGACAAAAAAGCCTGGAGTCAAATAAGAAATTATAAGTTAAAGTTTCCTCAAGATGTTTTCCTTCACGTACGTCAGTGGCGTCTAGATAGTCATAGAAAGTACATATAATTTCGAAAAAGTCACATTGGTACTTGCCAGAGGTTTCGAACCCACACCCTCCACCACGACCAGTTTCAAGTCGCAACGGGGCTCTTATTCATGAGCGTCTCAGCAGTAGGTATCTAAAGATTTGCTTAGTAATTCAAGTGAATAGATCGCTATTCCCTAAAAAAATGTGTTTCTCTCACGATAATTACTATTTAAAAATTGTGTCACTGTGATCTATGAAGAACGTGGTTGATTTTATATATTTATGTTTGTGTACATTTGTATTTTTATGTGTAATGGTTAAAATTCTATCATAAATAACGTAAAATCAAATCAAAATGGCAAAGAAAAAATATTTAATTCTATATTATACATGTGTAGTTGCGAACGTCGGAATGGGCCTGGGGCAGTTATTCTAACAATTTGATTACTGGACCCCACCAGGCTAACCCCTATGCGATCCCCTACTAAACAACATCAAAATAATAGAATAATAAGTCATAGTTCATTATTAAATTATTGAGGTTGAGGTTTAAACAATCTTCTCTCAAGCTCTTGTTTGAGAATACGTAGGTTTTTGGAGACTCTTAAAACGAATGTTGCAGACATTTTTAACCTATTGATCTGTAATTCCGTATTGTTTATTATTTATCCAAACTAATATTATAAATGTGAAAATAACTGTCTGTCTGTCACTTGTGTGAGACAAACATTAAGTTCAACACCTACAGTTGGAAATTATTGCTCGTTCTTCTCCATTCGAATTTACACTTTGGAACGAGCTCGTAGCTCCACTGATAAACAGACTGATATTATCTAGTATTTTGTTCTGTGTCTTGGGTGCGTTTACAAACATAAAATTTCACATATAAATTACACGTAAAGCCGGCTCAACAAGGTGTGGATGACTCAAAGAGTTGTTCATGCGGAAATCGAACCTGCGACACGTTGCGCGACAGACAGTTGCCCAGCCATCGTGCCAACCGTATACTGTTTAGGTGGAATAAATTAATGTTTTTAGACTTGACTGGACATAGAAATATTAAATGATTACACACTATACTTTTCTTCTTTTTCGTGTTAAGTGTGTGAGGAGAGCCATGCTTTACAGGCGTGAAAAAACGCATACGCTGTGTTTTGGGTGACTCTCATATGGATATACGTGTATATGTTACGTGCCTGACGTCACGTTCCTGACTATGCGGGCTTGGGTTACGGGATTGGATGAAATGAAACACTAATACCGGTTTTCAGACTTTCTATTGCACTTAAGTTACAGCGTCCACGGAGTTAAGTTATCGGCGTTCCTCTCCAGCAGAGTCCGGCCGACTGACACAACTTTGCCGTTCACGCTGACTTAACTCACTTAACTGACTGCACTTCACTATTTCACTGCACTTCACTATTTCACTCACTTTTCTTCTTTTTCACTTCTTCCTTTTCTTCCGAATCGCTTTAGACTTAGAACTCAACTGCCAGCGGTGAGCCGCAGTTCCGCTTATATACCCCCGGTCAAGTTCTGGAACATTCAATTTCGTTAGTCTTTTTGATCGTCATGCCTCCAGAACCTTCCAATAATTTCGTAATTCATTTTTATTTATTCTCCTTCTCGCTCTTTAATTTTTCATTTCTTTCACACAAATAATTCCAGAAAGTTCGACAAAACTTCCATCAACTAAAAAACTTCATGTTTACGGCGGGACTCGAACTCGGGGTCTCTGTGGTGGAATCCACACGCCTTACCAATTACACCAACTCGTATTGACAATTCACGACGAAATTTACGATCTCTAGGCATCGTTTGACAACCATCCATTGACGTCATGATGTCAAAGAGTTTGAACCACTTTTCCGTCACACTGCCCCCCTCTTAGATTCGCTCGTCCCGAGCATCGTTGCTGCCGTAATACCTCGCCAACCAGTCTATTTATTTATTTATTTATTTATTTATTTATTTAATAAATGGTGAATCAACAGCTACATTATACAATTTTAGCAGAAAAATAGTGACATTGAGCCACTTACAGATTCACACGAATAGTGCCAGAATAGTTAACAACTAAGACCAAATTAAAAATTTTAAATATAATCAAAACAGTAGGCACACCGCAAGAAAATTATATAAAGAAAAATGATGTAAACATATTTGAAAAAACATAAATTAGTTATTAAAAAATTCTCCACTTATCATGGTTCTAGCTTTTCTCAGGCTTGTACAAAAGGTATCTACATCATGCTTGCTACTGATGTCGTTAAAGGTACGACAAGCTCGACACAAAAATGAACTCTGCCTGTAGTTACTATTTGCAACCGGGGGACAAAGAGGTGTGTGCTTCCTAAAGGATTTCGAGGGAACATTGAGAGACAACTTTTCAAGGAGTTCAGGGCAATCAACCCTACCGTTTGCTATGGATAGGATATAAGTAACGTCAGCTATCTCACGACGTTTATAAAGTGGAAGAAAGTGAAATTGTTTGCAGAGTTTAATATAGTTATCACATCCAGTATTCTTAGGAATTTTCAAACGATAGCACAAGAACTTAATGAACTTCCTTTGAATTCTTTCAATTCTTGCAATATATTTATCATACCGGGGATTCCATATTTGCGATCCGTATTCAAGGATGCTTCGTACGTAGGCGCAGTATAAAATTTTGAACGTTTTTGCATTTTTGAATGGGGCTGTCGATCTCATGATAAAACCCAAAGACCTCGCTGCCTTAGCAGTTATTGTTTCAATATGCTCGTCGAAAAGGAGTTTAGAATCGTGTACCACACCAAGATCACGAACCGAATCCAGTCTATCAAGTTGATGGCCTTTGAGGTAGTATTGGGTGGACACATTATTTTTCTTTCGACTAAAGGTTACCACAGAGCATTTTACCGGGTTAAGATCCAATTTGTTGTTCAAACAATATCCATCCAGTCTACCAAGGTCCTCTTGAAGGCGTCCGGCACCCGCCGCTGATCTGATCGTTGCGTAAATTTTCATGTCATCAGCAAAACAAATAACTTTGCTATGGTGGAAGCAGTCGACAATATCATTCACAAATATCAAAAATAGCAACGGACCAATCAGAGAGCCCTGTGGAACACCGCTTGGTATAGTAACCCAGCCTGACATGTAGTTATTGATAACGACAGCCTGAGATCTCTTATCAATGTACGAAGCGAACCATCTAAGTAAATCTCCCCTTATACCGATTTTTTGTAGCTTACGAAGCAGTATAATGTGATCTATTCTGTCAAAACATTTACTGTAGTCTGTATAGACTACGTCGACCTGGAAGCCTGCATCCATGGACTGGGAAAGATAATCATTAAATATAATGAGGTTAGTAACTGTAGAACGACCCTTCACAAATCCATGCTGGCTGCAGTTGAGGGACTGTTTAATTGCAGCATAAACCTGGGTATATACGACTTTTTCGAAAATTTTAGAAAGGATACACAGTTTAGATATTGGTCTATAGTTAACTACATCAGTCTTGGAGCCTTTCTTGTGAACAGGTGTAATAAACGCACATTTCCAAATATGAGGTACTCGACAGCAAGACAGAGACTTTTCAAATAACAGGAACACAGGTAAGGCTATACTATCACTAGTCCTGATAAGAAATACGGATGTGACATTGTCTGGACCAGCAGACTTACATGGATCCAGCGCCGATAAAAGTCCTCTTACTTTTGATACCGTGACGTCCACACGGTCAATGTCTGAAGGTTGAGGTTCAGACGAGTCACAGTCCGGTAAGGAGTTACTAGAGTCGGTTGACTGATCCAGGAAAGTGGACAGAAAATACTCAGAGAACGCGTTACATATTGACTCGCCAGAAGTTAAAAGTTTATCTGAGTACCGTAAGCTACTGGGTATATTATTACAACCTGAGCGCGCTTTGTAATAGGACCAGAAATGTCTAGGATTAGACGCGATAGATTTTTCAATAGATTCTGTATACTGCTTGTAGCACAATGCTTCAAGTCGTCGAGCCCTGTCACGCAACAGTTTAAAAGTCTCTGCATCAGATTTACGCTTATATGTTTTATATTTATTGAAGTATTTTAGTTTTTCCTTTAGGACTTTGCGTAATGAAGCACTGTACCAAACCGGATAACAATCATTATTTACGGATCTAGTAGGAATATATTTGTCCCGAAGATTGTTTATAGTAGTATAGAAAAAGGCCACCGATTCCTCCAGCGTTAGCTTGTGAAATTCGGTAACCCAGTCAACCGTTGAGATTTCTTTATTAATAGAAGTATAGTCACCCTTATTATATAGGTATTTCTTCCTTGGTTTAGGTGGTAAAAATGATAACTGTACAAAGTTAATTGTTATAGATAATGCCTTGTGATAAGGGTCAATTGGTACTAACGGGTCGTCCACGCCAATCACAGTCACTGAGTCGTTGGAGAAAACAAGATCCAGAATCCTACCATAATTTTAATTCGTGACTATCTCATAAGGACCTTCCCAACTCGGTTGCAGCTTCGGAAATTTTCCCTTCCTTCTGACTGGATTATGAAGCCAGACCAATGACCCCTCTTCAAACCCAACAGAATTGGCTCGTCGATCATAGCGCGTTTTTGCGCGATCACTAGCTTGAAGACCGGCCTCCCTGATCTGCTCGTAAATGTCCAACATTTTTGCCCTTAACTCGCTTATGTAATCGCTAAACTCGGTTCGAGTGTCGCCAGGTGGACAGCCCGATACAAGATCTGCCGGTAATCTCAATTCCCTTCCAAAATTTGCAAATGCAGGCGTCTTTGCGGTACTTTCATGTACAGCAGTCCGATAGGCAAGCAAGAAGAGAGGTATGTAAGTGTCCCAATCTCTCTGATGGCTGTCAACCACCTTTGCTAAGTGTCGCTCCAATGTTTGGTTGAAACGTTCGACCATTCCATCTGACTGTGGATGATAAGGGGTCGTTCGAGTCTTATGGATTCCCAAAAGTTTACAAGTTTCCTGAAAAACTTGGGATTCAAAGTTCCGCCCTTGATCACTGTGCATCTCCAAGGGCACTCCGAATCGGGTGAATACCTCATTTACCAACTTCGTGGCTACAGTTACTGCCTCTTGATTCGGTATGGCAAAGACCTCCGGCCATTTTGTAAAATAATCCATAACCACTAAAACGTAGCGATTGCCCGAATCAGTGATTGGAAATGGTCCAGCGATGTCTAAGGCTATTCTCTCCCAAGGCATACCAACATTGTAGATTTTCATCGCCCCTCTGCTTCTTGTTTGTGGACCCTTGACAGCTGCACAACTAGTGCATTTCCGGCACCAATCTTCGACGTCATATTTGCAATGCAGCCAATAAAACCTCTCCTTGATCTTCACCAAAGTCCTCCTAATTCCCAAATGTCCTCCAGAAGATCCATCATGGAACGCTTTTAATACATCCCTTATTTTTGAACGAGGCACCACCAATTGCAAATGCTCGTCCTTGCCGTTTGTTGATTCCCATTTCCTGCACAGAAGTCCATTATGCAGCGTAAGGCTTTTCCACTGTGCCCATAAACCTTTCGTTACCGCGCTATATTGAGCGACGTCACTCCAACTTGGCTTGTTACCATTTCGTAGCCACTCCAGTATTGGTTTAATATCTGCATCTCTTTCCTGTTCTAATTTCATCGCATCATCTCCCCATGCCTCGTCAACAGTATCAGTCCTTATCACCTTAAGAAAAGCAGTTTCCTTCTTGGCACAATGCTTGCAATCTTCCACGCATGGGCGTCTCGATAATGCATCTGCGTTGCCGTGAATTCTTCCTCCGCGATGTTCGATTTCAAAGTCAAATTCCTGAAGTTGTTCCAACCATCTGGCTACTTGGCCTTCGGGATCCTTAAACTGAAGCAGCCATTTCAAAGCAGCGTGATCTGTTCTGATCAAAAATTTCCGTCCCAGTAAATACTTCTTGAAATGGTGCAGAGTTTTGACTACGGCCAGCAATTCCCTCCTGGTCACGCAATAATTCCTCTCCGGCTTGGATAGTGACTTGCTGAAGTAAGCAATAACCTTCTCCTGCTCACCATCGCGTTGTGAAAGGACACCTCCTATTCCAATATTGCTGGCATCCGTATCTACTACGAATATTCCTTTCGCGCTGGGGTATCCGAGAATTGGTGTGTTACAAAGCCGTTCTTTTAGTTCTCGAAAGGCTTGCTCACAATCCTCGTCCCAGATAAAGGCACGTTTCTCCTCTGTCAATCGATGCAAAGGCTTGGCAATGTCCGAGAATCCTTTCACAAACCGCCGATAATACGAGCACAATCCAAGAAATGCCCGAACTTACGTTCTGTCTTTAGGTGTTGGCCATTCCTTAACAGCGACAGTCTTGGCTGGATCAGTCTCAATTCCTCTCTCAGAAATAACATGTCCTAGATAATTCACTTCGCGCTTGAAGAAAGAGCATTTCTTTGGACTCAACTTTAAATTTGCTCCACGCAGCTTGTCGAGTACCTTTTCCAATTTCCTTAGATGATCGTCAAAATCCCGTCCAACAATGATGATGTCATCGAGGTAAACTAGGCAGGTTTCGCCCAGCAGTCCCGCCAGCACCTGTTCCATCAAACGCTCAAAGGTTGCCGGTGCATTGCATAATCCAAATGGCATCACCTTAAATTGCCAGAGTCCCTTCCCAGTTGAGAATGCGGTCTTTTCCTTGTCCTTGGGATCCAAATCCACCTGCCAATAACCGCTTTTCAGATCGAGCGTTGAAAACCATTTCATGCCACTCAATGTGTCAAGTGTGTCATCGATTCTTGGTAACGGGTAGCTATCCTTCTTGGTTACATCATTCAATCGTCGATAGTCTACGCAAAACCTCGTTGAACCATCTTTCTTCTTGACAAGCACGACAGGTGAACACCAAGGGCTAGAAGAGGGCTCTATCACGTCATTTTTCCTCATATCGTCAATCATTTCTTCAACCTCTTTCTCACGAGCGAATGGTATGCGTCTGGGCCTTTGACGAATTGGCATTGTATCACCTGTGTTTATTTTATGCTTCACCAAACCAGTTCGGCCAATATCACCATCGCTTCTTGAAAACACATCAGAGAATCGAAGAAGTAAATTTCTAGCTTTCATAGTCTCCACTTTTGTCAGACTTTTGTTTTCGTCTAAGATTTTCGTTACAAAGTCAATTCCCGTACTGTCCTTCTTCACAAGATTCTCCGAGCATTTTCTTATCCAGGCCACTTCTTCCAATACGCCCACAGGCTCTCCTTCTTCAATCGTAATTTTTGAATCACTGAAGTTGAATACCGGAATGCGGTTGACATCAGATGACCCCACGACAGTTCTTGCCGGTAGCCATGAGCTTACGTGTTCCGATTTATCAATCACAGCGCACCTTCGAGGTAAACTTCCTTCCTTCCTCCTAGGTAATGCGATTGGTACGAGAGTCTGTGATTTTGGTGCAAGAACAGTTCTTCTTAAACAGCAAACTTTTCCCAGGGTTCCACCCTTCATCGGAATTTCCTCAGTTCCACATAGTAAAACTCCAGATTTTAAGTCGATGTTACACTGGTGCCCTTGCAGGAAGTCAAGTCCCAGGATGCAGTCATCCAGAATTTTGGCCACAATAACCTCATGTCGATAAACACGTTCCCCAATTTTGATTGTTACATGCAGTTTTCCACTTATCGGTATGCACTGGCCGGTAGCTGATTTCATTTGTAGGCCAACAATTGGTTTAAGGTGTTTCCTGATGTTTTGCTCGAGCAGCCGAACATTTATCACCGTCCTTGAAGCTCCAGTATCTAATGTTAGCTGACTGTTTTTCCCATTTACTTGACCGTCTATCACCAGAGTATTTCCATCGTTGGTTTGCTTGATGTAGATTGTTGGGGTTGTTCCACTACCAGCCAGCGCCCACCCCGCAGCCCTGGCTGGATTTAAGTTTCCCTGCTGGTCAGAAGTTGAGACCGCCGCGTCCTGGCGGTTCATCTTCTTCGGGCAGTCGCTCCGTATGTGCCCACGCTCTCCACATCCATAGCACATGAAGTTCTGACGGCGTGGAGGTACCTGCTCCGTTGTCGTCATTTCCCGCAGACGTAAGGTACGGGAGTTGCCACGCACGGCTTCCACTTCCAATGCATGGGTCAGAGCTTCTTTCATGTTCTTGTGATGGCCCAGATGAACAGCAGCTCGTACTTCGGGGTCCCGAATACCGTCAATGAACGCTTGGAGAAGCGTGCCTTCAATCATTGACGGAGTCGACCGGAACTTGGGCTTGTCACTTCCTGCTTGATTTTGGAGATCTCTTCTTTCACTCTCTCCTCTATCGCCATGACGCGATGTTCCAACTTGCCTAACCCTTCCTCCACTTCTTGTACCCGTTCGACAGCCTTTGGAGTCCCTTCGTGAAATCCTTGTGCATCTCTTCCAAGCGACGCGCTTGCTCCTCTTGGCGGCGAGCTTGATCTTCTTTGAGCTCCCGAAGCTGTTCTGCCTGACAGCGTGCTTGTTCTTCTTGGCGGCGCGCTTGCTCTTCTTGGCGGCGCACTTGCTCTTCTTTCAGCTCCCGTAGCTGTTCTGCCTGACAGCGCGCTTGCTCTTCTTGGCGGCGCGCTTGCTCTTCTTGGCGGCGCGCTTGCTCTTCTTGGCGGCGCGCTTGCTCTGCCATCATTTGCTGCAGCTGTAGCAGAAGATCCACCTGCACAGGCTTGGCTTCTGCATCGCTGGTTTGAGCTGCAGCACCCTCTTCCCTCACACGCTGCGCTTCTGACATTGCACGGGTACTCAGTCCTCTGTCCTGCGGCATTAGCGGCATTTTTCTCCAATCCCACTTCTGACACCAAATGTTACGTGCCTGACGTCACGTTCCTGACTATGCGGGCTTGGGTTACGGGATTGGATGAAATGAAACACTAATACTGGTTTTCAGACTTTCTATTGCACTTAAGTTACAGCGTCCACGGAGTTAAGTTATCGGCGTTCCTCTCCAGCAGAGTCCGGCCGACTGACACAACTTTGCCGTTCACGCTGACTTAACTCACTTAACTGACTGCACTTCACTATTTCACTGCACTTCACTATTTCACTCACTTTTCTTCTTTTTCACTTCTTCCTTTTCTTCCGAATCGCTTTAGACTTAGAACTCAACTGCCAGCGGTGAGCCGCAGTTCCGCTTATATACCCCCGGTCAAGTTCTGGAACATTCAATTTCGTTATTCTTTTTGATCGTCATGCCTCCAGAACCTTCCAATAATTTCGTAATTCATTTTTATTTATTCTCCTTCTCGCTCTTTAATTTTTCATTTCTTTCACACAAATAATTCCAGAAAGTTCGACAAAACTTCCATCAACTAAAAATCTTCATGTTTACGGCGGGACTCGAACTCGGGGTCTCTGTGGTGTAATCCACACGCCTTACCAATTACACCAACTCGTATTGAAAATTCACGACGAAATTTACGATCTCTAGGCAACGTTTGACAACCATCCATTGACGTCATGATGTCAAAGAGTTTGAACCACTTTTCCGTCACAATAATATTAGGAGGAGCAATCCCCTCTCCACTCCTCCCGTTCCAAATTCCCAAAATCTATCAATCTTAAACCCGCAACGCACTCCTAAATCCACTGGTGTTGCGGGTCATCAAGAGCGGTGCTGATAATATGCGTTTGATAATCCGTCTGAAAAAGAAAAACATTTTAAAGACAAAGATTAATTTCTAACATCAATGCTCATGCTTTTACAACCCTGAAACTCCAGAAAGTGTGTGAAAGTGAAAGTAAAATCGTGGCTGCTTTTCATGAGTACCACTCGTTCTGCTCCATTACTTCTACTAAGACCGGCTGGTGTCACCGAAAGGCACGTGATTGAATGAGCATATAAGTCACACTTTTTTCTGAAACTCTTAGAAATTATAATAATAAGATAAAGAAGTCAGTTTAAATGTTTCTACTGCAAAGGAATTACCAGTATAATTCGTTTTTCATAATCCAAATAACACTCTCATCTAAGGTCATCATCATCTTCCTGCTCTTGTCCCGTTTTATTTAGGGTCGGCGCAATATGTTTTTTTCTTCCATTCTGTCCTGTCACCCGTCATGCTATCACTAACTCCTCTGTCTTCCATATAACTTCTCACACAATCCATCCATATTTTTTTCTTTGGTCTCCCCCCCATGTCTTCCCCTATAACATGCGTTTTATCCCTACTCTCATCTAAGGTAATTAAATTAAATAATAAAAAGACTATAACCTAAAATTCGTATCACCTTATAAAACTATTAATTTGTAATTAAAAACCAAACGAAACATTATTTGCCGCGCCTTAAACTGATATCGGAGACAGTAGGTTAACCAAAATACCACATTTTGTAACCGAAAACGAACCGAAAATACAAAGTAAGAAGGAGATACAGCGAATGACTAAATTACATCAAAAATATATTTAATGCAACACTGATTCACAGGTTAGATAATACGGAATGTGATTTGTATGAACAGCATTTGGGAACGTAACTTTAAGGGTGGTGAAACCTGTCTTTTATGTGATCTATTTGAAAAAAATCAAACGACCTCTCTCGTCCAGTGTAATGGCAAGAGGGTGTGTGTTGGATTCCTACGGACTCATCATCATCATCATCATCAGCTTATAAGTGCCCACTGCTGAGCGAAGGCCTCTTCTCAAACGGAGAAAGTTAGAGCATTAATAACCACGCTTGCTCAATGCAGGTTGGCGATTTCAAACTTATAATTAGAAATTATAAGTCCAGGTTTCCTTACCGTATGTCAGTGGTGTCTAAATAATCATAGAAAGTACATATAACTCGGAAAAAGTGACATTGGTACCTACTTGCCAGGTTTCGAATCCTCATGCATGAGAAGCGGGCTTCTTAACCTCCGGGCCACCACCGCATTACGGACTATAACCCACCGTTCTCTCTCCTGATTAGTTTCAAGCCACGCAGAGGTTCATATTCATGTGTAGCAACGTCGCTAAATCCCTTTCTTCTCCTCTTTCTGTAAAATTAATTATTATCAGTTATTATCTTTGGTTTTTTTTGTTATTTTAAATAACGTTACATCATAATAGGATTTTCTGTTGTGTCACGGGTGCGGTTACAAACATAAAAATTTACATACACAAACCACCCAGACCAAGACAACAGTTGGTGCTCGGTACGAGGATCGAACAAAGCGTACGATTACACAGCAGCCAGTTTTCCGGCCAATACATCAACATTATCAATTGACTACCTCCAGGTAAGGCGAGAGGGAGTGTCAGACTCTTACTGAGTAAACGTCAACATTATTAACGAGGAATATCCTCCAATCGTTTAGAAGCGTGGTCACACAACACAGCAATAACAATCAGTAAACCTACTTCTATCGTTTATATGTACCAGTCTAGGGCAAGTACAACCGGCGCGTGTCGTGTCTAAGCCTTTAATAACTCATCAACACAACGAAAATAATTTTACTAAAATCAATCAACAAGAATTCTAACAATTAATAATAACAACAAACCTCAAAGTTTTCTTTTACAAAAGTGCTAATATTAAAAATATTTCGTCAAAATAGAAAAAGAAAAAAGAGTTACCTACATAGAAAAAAAATTTTTTTAACGTCAATTAATTATGATATCTATAAACGTTATAGTAAATGAGTTCTTCAAGATCGTGCAATCATTAGGATCCCCATCCCTGGTGCAATGGATACTGCGTGTGTTAAGCATTTTCCAAGCAGTGTTTCAAGCTGGTTGGCCTGAAAACTACGAGCTATCAGGTATGTATTATTCTATTCTGAAACCACTAGCTTCCACACGCGGCTACGCACGCGTGATATGTTGGTAAAAAGTCACCTGTTCTCTATACCTAATTTCAACCAAATCGGTCTATACGTTTTTGCGTAAAATAATAACAAACATACAAACATGCATTCTCACAGACTTTATAATGTTAAGTAGGGTTGGTTGTGTCATCGGATTGATTATCACACATGAGATTCTATTAAATGCGATATATTCATGGAGTGCTTATTTTAATGAAGAAACATTATTTTATATATTTATATATTTAAACGAAACTCGGTGAGAGAGTTCTCTTGTAGACGTGAAGTCAATTCACATTTCACCTGCCACAATAGTAACAAAGCAAAAAAAAAATCGAAAATGATGAAAAACATCTCAAGACCGGTGCTGGTTCAAGTCCTGATACCTAAAATCCTTAAACGTTTTCATTTTGAATGGGCCTGCTCGACTGAAGTAACAGTCGAAGGTCTCACGGAAAACCGGCGTGAAACAACTCTTGCATTGTATTTCGCCGTTTGAGAGGAGGATCCCCGTATGTCCCTTCATCCATATCCCCAATCCTGCAATCCGGCAACGCACTTCGGGCGTCTATTGGTGACTCTGATTGCTTGATAAGGTGATCTGTCTGCCCGCTTATGCTAATTATTCGTATAATAAATCATATAACCATATGTCATGTCATATATCCATATATCATTCGTATATCCATATAGCATGAGTTCATCATTCTCCAAAAGGTACTGTTGATCCATAGTATGCTTTACTACCTATAAATAAAAGCAATATCTGTATTAAAAAAAACCTGTGTAAGAGCTAGAGGCATTCAGAAGATATGGACAGATCACAAGGATGGTGTTCCTAACGTTAATTCTTGGTTACTTCAGATGGTGATCGATTCGACTTCATTGTGGTCGGGAGTGGGTCAGCAGGCGCTGTGGTTGCTGCTCGGCTTTCAGAAATACCAGAGTTCAAAGTACTGCTCATCGAGGCTGGGGGAGACCCACCACCTACAAGCGTGGTAGGTATCCATGTGTCAAAGAACAGCAAATTAACTCATTTTTTATGAGCAATCATATTATCTGATGGTAAGTAATCGGCGTCGCCCATGGACACCTGGGGCACCAGCATAGTCATATCTTAGAACAAAATCAAGTAACATCCACTTCCTGTTTAAAATTTTGCGGTTACAAACCATTATTATACTGGCTGTAAAAATCGCTGATTATTCTTCCTGAAAAAGCTTGCCCCTTATTACAATAACATTTTCTTCTATATCGATGTTGTATACCATTCTACATACACATGACTTCCAAACCTGCTATAACAATTTATGGGTCACACAAAATACTACCCTGTGCAGGAATCCAATCCGCAACACGCCTCGCAACAGCCTATTGTCCAGCGACCAACGCAACCGGTGCTATAAAGTAAAATAATATTAGTATCTACAGAACAATGACTCGTAAATTTCAAAAACTTATTTGTTTTATATTTCAGATACCCGGTTTCTTTCCAACTCTTCAAGGCACAGAATATGACTGGAATTACAAAGCCTATTTTGATGAGGACGTTGGCAAGGCACACCCGGGCGGATACATAAACTATTCTCGAGGTAAAGTACTTGGAGGCTGTTCGTCTACCAACTACTTAATATACTCACGAGGTAAACCTGAGGATTATGAGAATTGGAACCGTATAGCACCTGGCTGGGACTGGGAGACAGTACTGTATTATTTCAAGAAGTTAGAAGACATGAAGGATCCAGTAATCTTTAAGTATCCACAAAATGCCCGGCTTCATTCAACGACTGGACGTGTGAAAGTTTCCAGACCGGAACCTTTGCCATCAACTGTAGCTATAGACAACAGCAGGTTACAATCTTACGAAGAAATGGGTATACCGCGAGTTCTGGAGATAAATGGGCCAGAAATCGAGGGAGCCGCTAGACCACATTTCACTTTTTATGATGGGAGGAGATCTAGTACAGCAGAAGCTTACTTAAGGCCAGCAAAAGACAGAATTAATCTAAAAGTTGCCAAGTATTCCACAGTTACTAAAGTATTAATAGATCCTAGCACTTTGCGTGCGTATGGTGTGCAGGTGTATACATCTAGTAAGAAACTTATCAATGTGTACGCTACCGAAGAGATTATTATTTCTGCTGGTACATTTAATAGTCCAAAAATCCTCCTACAATCAGGAATAGGACCTAAAGAGGAATTGTCAAAGTTTCATATAAAAACATTGGTAGATCTTCCAGTTGGTAAAAATTTACACGATCACCAAACTATACAATTGATTTATAAAGGCAAGCGTGGATTGGAGACGGGATTCCAAAATATAATAGCTGCTCCACACTTAGATACCTTACCTGCACCAGTTCAATGTGGTTATTTTAGAATAAACGATAGTGAGTGCCAGTACCCTTCCAAATTACAACCACAAATACAATTCTTCAACACATACATTGGAGCAGGAGCTTCAGCTGTTATCCTTATAGCATGTAAAACAATAGCTAATTTTGAAGAAAAACTTTGCCTTGGGCAAGCAGCTAGTAACGTTTTTGACGAAGTAGATAATGTTTTACTTGTTCTTCTACATCCTCTATCTAGAGGGCAAGTGAAACTACGAAGTACAGATCCCCTGGACGATCCATTGATTGAGTTGGGTTATTTTAGAAATAAAAATGATTTGAAGATAGCTGCGGCGGGGGTGAAACGTATGAATACTTTAATAAACACAACATACTTTAGAAACGTAGGGGGAAGTATTCCCAGACTGAGTATTACTGCGTGTGAACATATAGAATGGGGTACTGATGACTTTTGGGAATGTTATGCTAAGAATACCGTAGCGTCTTTGATGCATGCTGTCGGTACTTGTTGGATGGGAGAGGACGGTGTTGTGGACGAGAGACTGAGGGTACATCATGTTGCTAATCTAAGAGTTGTAGATGCATCTGTTATCCCATTAATACCCAGTGGCAACACTAACACTCCAGTTATGATGATAGGAGAGAAAGCAGCTGATATGATCAAGGCAGACTTTTATAAGCGCAATATTGTGTAACTAGAATTCAACAAAGGAACAATACTTGCCAAAGCCCTAGATATTACAATTATTATTATCAATGAAGTCTACCTCCTGATGTATTTCTTGACTGATGTTACAGATCAGTGATTTACAGAAGTTTTAGGAATTTAAGTCAAGAACAACCCTAACAACTCTATTGTCACATAATTTATTGTCCGAAGCCAAATATAGAGTTCCTATGTAGAGGAGTTGAGACGCTTTAATTTAAAATAAGTAATAATTACAATTAAAAAGAATCTAAATTAAAAACGTTCTACATCAGCTTTTCTTAATCACCTCTTCTTGTTTATTACTACTATTTATTTTAAAAAATTCTAAGGTTTAAATTCTGTAAGGTGACAACAACGCTGACTAAATACTAGTTTTAATGTTTTCATTTAATTTGATGTTTTTTTCTTCAGTTAGAATTTCGCCTGCGTCATGGGTGCGTTTACAAACTTACAATTTCACATACATATGACACCAAGACCCACTACAACAATTTGTGCAAAGAGTTGTTCCGTGCGGGAATAGAACCCGCGAAATGTTGCACGGCAGCCGGCCACGGCGTAAACCGAAAATTCGAATTGGTAATGACTTCGTTCGTAGATATTATAACGCTATCTCTGTCCCAATTTTCATAAATCATTGCCAACTATGTATGTATGCGGGTGATAACGAATTTGCTTAGGAATGCAACATACATAGTAGGTAACATCAATTGTTAGGGTTCATTGCAAAAGTTGAACACCCCGAAAACTAAGTGTGGGTCAGCTCGACGGGAGTTATACCACGACCTTAAAGAAAACCGGTGTGAAACAACCTCAGCGTTGTGTTTCGCCGTCGTCGTCGTGGCCGTAAGCAGTGATGCTCGCAAAGGAGGAGACGGAGCGCGTAAGGGAACTATCCTCCTCGCGCCCCAGCCGCCGCAGTAGGCGACATTCCGGGCGTCGGGGATCGAGAGATCAACTCCGGCCACCGTAAGCTCGGCTCTGCGGACGGCGAGTAAGGGTACCTCGCCACCGCAAATGGGGCCCTATAAGGCCGATGTTCAGCCGGGGTTGCGGGCTAAGCGCAATAAGTCACCGCGGCCTCGGCCCAGAGCAGGAGAAGGAACGGGGGGGGTTTTTAGTCAGTAAGAGTCTGATATTCTCTCTTACCTAACCCTGGTCAAGAGAAGTCATTTGGTGATTTTCCCCAGACAAAATAAAAACGTTGTGTTTCGCCGTATGAGTGCGGTTACATGATGTCCAACCATTTCCCACCCCCAATCACTCTCCATTCTGCCGGCCTTTTGAGGATTAGGGATTTGGAAGATTTAGGGTTTAGGGAGGGATTTGGGGAAGGGAAGGATTGGGCCTCCGGTAACCTCACTCACACGGCAAAACAGAACGCTGTGATTGTTTCACGCAGGTTTTCTGTGAGGCCGTGGTATCACTCTGGTCGAACTGACCCATTCGTGCCGAAGCATGGCTCTCCCACGTTTATTTATTAAGGAAGGAAGACCCATGCGTTTAGTAATGTATGCTGATTTGTACATAATTGTCTTACATCCCTTTAATCGCATCATGTGAAATCGATTCAATTACTATTAGTACGAAATCACTGACGTCAATCACGTTAAGTCATTTTCGCAACAAAAAAATATTCTCTAGGTTTCGTTTATTGTTGGTTCACGTTCAAAAGTACCTTAAATAGTTTTAATTTTGAGTGTGACTTTGACTTTTGGTTTTATGTAAATTGTTAAATAGATACATATACGTACTAGATCAAACTAAACCGTTGGTTTTTCAAGGGATAGGGAACAAGAAACACTTTTATCAGCTAACGAAGTTATCAGCGTCGTCCAAAGACACTTGTATCACTAGAAGAGCAAGGAGTTAATTGCTTACCTGAAAAAGAAGGGTTTTGCCCTTCGACAACTGAGACCATAAGTGGAGAATGCAATCGAGTATTATTTCTTGTAGGAATCTGGTTGACTGTGACTTGATAAAGCTGATGATGACACCACTGATCAGCTCTAAGAAAACTGCATTCATCACTTTGAGCTCCGCGGTTTCCTAGATCAGGAGAAAGAAGTTGCCTAGTTTTTAGCCAGTAAGATTCTGTCACTCCTTGGTCACCCAGGCACCCAGGGTGAAAAAAGTCATTAGAGAACTCAATCCCTTAAAAAAGGGGATTTATGTAGTTAGTATTTAATGTACACATAATATTTATTAAAAATTTTCGATCGTGCTGGGCGATCGTACATCACGGGCTGTTGAATATTGTTATAATGTTGTAAATTGAATTTTATTTTCAAAAAACTTTCAAAAAATCTATAATATTTTACCCGTTTCGTGTTTACTTTATCGGACCCAAAGTACACGCAAAAGCCGACGCTTTCGCGTATACTAATGTATGACAGATTATGGCTACCCTACTATTAAATTGATTAGGACTTCCAGCTTCATTATTATTCTTTTAATAATAGGTATCTAAGTGTTTATTTCCTTTGCATATACACAAACATTAATAACATATAATTGGAGTGTTCCTTGAAGTCAATTCCAATCGCCGACTGATTGTAAGAAAACTTAATTAAAGCGCCATCTCGGAGTCGACACCTGAATCACGAACGCACGAAGGTCAAAAACCTCAATGACTCCTAATATATAGTAATGGAAATACCTAATTCACAGTTTTATCGCAAAACTTAAGTCTGTATACTTCAGTATTCATTCTTTTTTTAATTGTTACTAACCATTGATAACTCTTTTGACAACAATTACGTGTATTAGTTAGTTTTATGTTGTTTTTTATAACTTGGTCGCTGTTTGGCTGTTCACAAGTACAATCGTTTGTATTCGCGATGTCGTAAAATCGCTCGTTTACATGACAAAGTCTACTGGAGTGCTGTTAGAACATGATTATCTGCAGTCCGGATGCCCGTACTATGATCAGACAACTCGAACAGATCTCATTGAAGCATTCAAATCACAGAAGATAAGCATTTGGTACTTATTTCCCTCGTTTCCATTATTATAACAATTAAACTAGGAATAAATATATCCTTAAATGGATAGTGAACAATTTTTTTATAATAAATTTTGTGACGAAAACGAGTATTACAAGGAAATTTTAAAGTAATGAGTATATTTAATATTAAGATGACATCACAACATACAAAATTTAATTAGAACTGTCATTTTAAATTGTTTATAAGGACCTAATTCCCATGCCGAACTCATAAGAATGAAAAGGTTAGAGGAAATTAACTACAACTTATTATAGCGACCCTTCTAAATAATAACGATAAAATAGAATAATAATTCTTAAAGTTTATTTAGGAAAATATTTTCTACAGAACTCATGGCAAAATTTTTATTCAAATTAAACAAAATATGTAATTAAATGTAAGTTTAAATTTATAACTAGTCTGTAGCCAAAAAAAAATCAAAAAGTAATATTTACAAATATAACACACCAAATTAATAGATGAGCTCTACTTTATATATATTCAAGCTCTGAATAATTTTATTCTGAAGAAAGTGAGAATACGTCGAGTTGCGTAAAAACTTTGGTAGGGGTCAGGGAAAGGTAATGACGCGACCGAGTTGATGTTGAACTGTGCTTAATGTGCCGGAATACAGTAAGCGTTTGATGGCCGACCCTCTTGATATCACTCACTTCCTTCGAGTAGGCTAAACTGTACGTCGTTTTTAGACGAAGACATCAAAAAAACGAAATACTGATTGAGATTTTAGTTTTAGTCTCGACTCGGGAAAAACTGTGAGACATCGCTTGCGTTGTGTTTCGCCGTGTGATCGTCAATGTCAACAGCCTATAAGTTCCTACTGTTGAGCAAGTAGGAGGCCCAATCCTTCCCCTCCCCCAATCCCTCCTAAATCCCTAAATCTCCAAATCCCTAATCCCTAAAAGGTCGGCAACGCACTCGTAACTCCTCCGTTGCGAGTGTCCATGGGCGGCGCTGATTGCTTACCATCAGGTAATCCGTCTGCTCGTTTGCCGACCTATTACATAAAAATAAAATGCGCATACAAACACATTTTGCAATTCATTTTTATATATTTACTTTTATAGTGAAATCTACAAAATGCATTTTTTGTAGATAATACAGAAAATCTGTATTAATTAATAGCCATTAGCCATTACAAGTTGCAAGCGGACAATATGCATGAGAATTACAGTTAACGCATTAGGTAAACCAAACTGAATTCACCCAATTAGAACAGGTTGTAATGTTGCGGTAACCAATGAAACTGTGCCAATGAATTGGGCAACCGACCCTGATTGGCCAGTAGGTCATTAGAACACGGATAAAGGACTATTGATTCAAATACTACTTAAAGATTAGGTACTGTTTTTATTAAATAGTTTTGTAAGGGGTTCTTGTTCCGGTGACGTCACGCGTTCGTGAAGGAAAGCCAGGTGGATGTTGTCAACGTGTAATTGACACAATATAATAAAATAGGCGCAGTCCCACACAACCTTTTCCGCTTGGACGAAGGTGGCAAAAATTATACAATTATTAACATAAAAGTATAATATTGTATCCGTGACTTGCTATGCAGAGGAGTTCCAAGAGACTATTCTATTTAGGACGTAGCGCAAAAGTGCAACTTCTTAGTAGCCTTCCCAAAACACAAATGTACTGGCGGGGGTCATTAAGTCGCGGAGAATCTTAAACACCGCCATGTAAAGTATGACGTCATGCGCACAGTGCCATCTAGTATTGAATAGCGGAGTTATACAATGTAAACGATGAAGTGAACTATTGAAATAGATTTTACATAATATTATAAATAGTTGTGTTACAGTTTTAATTTTTTGTTCTCCTCAAATGATATCTTCTGATTTATTTCGTTGCGGGCTCCAAGTCAGTCATTCATGTCCCTGGGACAGTTTTTGTTCTGTGTTTTCATGGTTGTATCTACTATAGATCCTGGCAAACAGGGCTTGTCCTAATTAAAAATAATATTTTGTCACCTGATCGT